AATAAAATCAGCAGACCTCTAGATGTTACTACTGCTCAGCTTAGACTCGGTTACAAGTATCTCTGGGAATTCTCATTATTTGTTGATGTAGACCTGACCAAATGTTAACTGTCAACAAAATTATTCGCACACCCTCCGTCACTATGTGATGGAGTGCAAAAAGATACATGAATTCTGAGACAATTCTATAACCAATGTTCCAGCGATGTGTAAGTATTTCACTCAAAATGATCTGCTACCAGAAGTTTTAGCCAAATATCCCCAGTTTGCAAACTGTAGGTAGTAACTAAGTGACTGTAACCTATCCACTGCTGCCCACTGGATGGGGGGCGGTGTGCAGGACAAACATATCAATTGTGACACTAGCTCTCCACACGTTAGTTGTTTAATTTAGAAACTGTACTTGTGGTCGATCTCGAACCCAATTATGATGTGACGACTTATACTGAATTTTCTAACTAGCTCATCAAGATTGTAACTTGCTTAATTAAATGAATTGTGGGGTTGAGTCCCTGAGCCCATTATGTTCTTCTGTAACCCTTTCCCATACTGCCCACAAGATGGGTATGGGGTGCATAATAAATAAACTAAACTAAATTAATAAGTGAACCATATGAACCAAACACCAGCCAGAGTGGTCCACAGAAGTGAACAACTGTTTCCATGATTTTCGTTCACTGAGAATGCAAGGGCAGTATGAACAGGGCACCTAGGGAAGGCGGTCTTAGGCGCATGCAACCCCAGTACTGAACTGATGAATTACTCCTGGCCTGCGCAGCACACCACAAAAAACCACCACAAGGCACAAGACTGCACAGACTGAGAGGCCAGAGTCAACGACTGTCACAGTCGGACATCAGCGGAGAATTAAATGGTGGAGCAGCCAGCGCTGGAGGTCCGAGGGCCCCCCCCCCTTTCCCCCTTCTCGGGGGTTGGGGTTGGGGGGCTGCACGGATGAGTGACACAATGATGGGGTGTGATGTTTGCTTGTTTTAGAACTGAAGTTTTTTTTTCTGTTCGGTCGGTCTTAAGGTAGCAATATTTTTTTTTCCCTGTTATCTTGAGGTTATCTTGAGTTGATTTCGGGGCTTTTAGTGTCCCAGCGGCCCGGTCCTCGACCAGGCCTCAACCCTAGGAAGCAGCCTGTGACAGCTGACTAACTCCCAGGTACCTATTTACTGCTAGGTAACAGGGGCATAGGGGTGAAAGAAACTCTGCCCATCGTTTCTCGCCAGCGCCCGGGATCGAGCCCGGGACCACAGGATCACGTGTCCAGCGTGCTGTCCTCTTGGCCGGCCGGGGTTTGTTTTGTGATACCTACCTTTCCGGTTGCCAACCCGGGTCAATGACAGATATGGAATGCTTCCAAATACATGGGGGTTTCCATAGGCCATTGCTTCCCTAGCCTCTCTGAGGGGACCAGGTTCTGGCTCGTGGTCCCCGGTAAGCAGAAGAACTCTAACCGACTGATGCCACGGTCTAATGCATACATATCAGCCCGGTAAGCTCCAGGGAGCTGAAGGGGCTCCCCACAGAAAAAACATTAGAAATTTCACTTTTGCAAACAGTGGTAGACATTGGAACAAGTGAGAAGGTGGTGGATGCCAAATCATCAGTACTCTAGTTTCAAAGCATCATATGAAAAAAACATACTCAGTAGGCAGGACAACATGAGCATAGCTCTCATCTGTAACTACACGTATAATTACACTTAAGTCATTTAAGAAGCCCTCCCAGAAAAGATGCCATAACTAAACAATTCAGGAGGAAAGAAGTTCTGGGTAATCATTATTGTCCCAGTCCCCCCATTCAAAGTGTGGGGAGAAACTCTTCAAGATACAAAAAAAAAAAAAAAAAAAAAATGTTGAATATAATGAGACGCCATTTTCTGGTTGAGCCCCGGAGGCTCCTTGGAGCTATCGGATTGATATTAGCTATATTAGTCTGGGGCTTCAAGTCATACGGAACTTTAGGCCTACCAGGAACCACGAGCCAGAAACTGGTGCCCTCAGAGAGGCAAAGGGAGCAATGGCCTATGAAAACCCCACTCTGAGAGTATACTCATGTCTGTCATTGACCGGGTTAGGAACCCAGAAAGGTAGGCACCCCAAAATAGACCCCAACTGGTAGAAAAGTGCAACCCAAGACCAAACAGAGCAGAGCGGAAGAGCAGATCAAACCAGCAAGGTGCTTCACTGGGCTGATCTGTTGAAAGAGGTGGAGCCCTGGAAACCACCCCGGGTTCAGACACCAAGCAAGCAGCGTCTGAAACCAAGGATGGGGGTGGCTACCATGGGGCCAGAAGGAGAACCTTCCCCTGATAGGACTCCAGTCGAGCCAGAACCCTAAGCAACAGCTGAACCAGGAAAAAAGTGGTACAGGTAATCCCCACCTCGACCAGTCCTGCTGAAAAACATATACTGCGATGGCTTCGCAGTCGAGGAAGGGCGCCACATATCAGGAAACGCCTCGACAATGCCAACGCAAAGAGGTCCACTTCCAGGGGCCCGAACGTCTGGCAAAGCCAACTGAAGAACTGAAGGAGTCGGCGTCGACCATCCATGGACAGGGGGAACGAGTTGAGACAGGCCGTCCGCCAGGACGTTAGATACGCCCCTGATGGAAACCACACGCAGAGCTAAACCCCGAGAATTCAGCAGAAGAGTCTCTCGAAGCAACCAGCTCCAAAGAACCAAAGACCGAAGAGACCACCCACAGTTCAGGCAATGAACGACCGGGGCGCAGTTCAAATGGAGTCGAATTGTAAAGCCTCGAGCAAGCAGAATCCGCTGCAAACACCCGCACTGTGCTGTGAGCCCGACGGCCTACAGCTCCTGGCCAGCCTAGTGTGCGCTGGCCACAAAGCCCCAGCCGAGATACAAAACTTCCATGAGCAAATTGAGCGAGGATTCCAGAAAGCGCCAAGTACCCCAAAAAATCTGAAGAGGAAGCCGGAGACGCAGCAACGGACACAAGGCCCCGGTGAATGAACCCAGCGATTATAAGAACAGCGGAAGGGACGGAATCAAAGAAACCAGAATAAACGCCGAAGCCAAACCCTACCCGGCGGGTGAACCAGCACGGTGAAGTTCAAACTCCCACACAGCTGCTCGAGCAACTGCTGAGTGACCCGGGACCCCCTCAGGAACAGCTGAAGGCGGGACTGCAGCCAGAGCAATGCTGCAGGAGGGAGAAATGGACGCCATCCAAGAAGCCCAGACAAGGCCCAGCCATGTCCGAACCTGGGACAGAACCAAATGGGACTTCCTCCAGTTCACCAGGAACCCCAACCCAGTGAGCTGGAAAAGAACCAAACCCTGGCAAACAGACTGGTTGGGAGCCCTTACCAAGCAGTCATCGAGGTAGGCCAAGACCTGATCACCTAGGAGAAGCAGACGGGACACCACGACCCGGGTAAGATACGTGAAAACGTGAGGCGCCAGATTCAGCCCGAAGGGAAGGCAACGAAAGCGGTGAGCTTGCCACTCCACCACTAAACCTAACCAGTCCCTGTACCCCGGATTAATAGGGAAGTGCCAATACACGTCCCAGAAGTCCAGAGACACCATCCACAAAGGAGGTCCAGAGACACCATCCACGAATCACGGCTCCAAGAGAAGCCGGACCTAAGACAAAGTTGTCATCCTCAGCAATCAAGGCCGCCGAAAGGGAAGGGGCCTGGGCATGCAATTGGAGCAGGCCAGCTTCACGAGGAAGTACAGGGGCATAAAGGCACGCATTGGGGTGCTCAAAAGTGCCCTCCCCTCCCAGATAAATTTGCAATACCGTAGTAAGCTCTTGCCAATCTAGCATGCAGGTACCATAGAATCCGTGCCATGTCCTAAGCAGAAAGAAAGGGCAGGCGGCAAGCCAGGAAGATGCCGGAATCTCCTAATGCACTCAATATGGGGAAGAAGAACCGAACTCAAAAGAGACCGAGTCCATCACAAAGGGAAAGTTCGGGTCTCACAGGAGGTATGCACCAAGGACCACCTCTTGAACCTCTGCAAGGAGAATCAGAGGTGGAAAACCTCCGGAAAGATGAAGCCGCAGAACCGAAAGTAACCCAGAAACAAACCCATATCAAACTCGTACAGGGAAAGGGAATATGAAAACCCAAAACCCTGCAACAGCAAACCCTGCCCTGAAGGCCTCAAGGCCCAGGTGTCCAAGAGCCCAAGAATCCCCCCCCCCAGCCCCGGAATCCACCAAACCAGGCTCGGGGCAGAGCTGACATCAATGAGATCCATCCTCAAAAGAGAGGAAAAAAAAAAAAAAGTCCATGGGAAAAGGCATCAAAAGAGTTTGCTGGTAATCCCCAGAAGCCCCGGCGGTGGATCAGGCTCAGAGGCATTCATTCCCGTATCGAATGGGGCAGCCCTTGGAGCTGACCAAGACTCATCCCCAACTAAACTCCACCTCGACTCTGAAACCCTCAGACGTTTGGGAGCCGGCAGCAGGGAGAACTACACCAAGAAGGGAAGGACTCAGGGGGTAAGAACTGAACCAAGGTCAAAGTGACCATTGCCCCCAAGTCTGGGTCCCTAAAACCAAAACGGGGCTGGCGGTCCCAAACTGATGCTCTAGCAGTTAGCTCGGTGGGGAAAGGGGGAGAGGGATAAGGAGTTGCGTGTCGGGTTGATGACGATTTGCTCTTTACCTTGTTTTTCTTGGGGGGAGTTCTTAGGCTCTGTTCGGTCTTGGGTTGCAATTTTCTACCAGTTGGAGTCTGTTTTGGGGTGCCTAACCCCGGTCGATGGCAGACATGAATATACTCAAAAAGAGTGGCGTTTTCATAGGCCATTGCTCCTTTCGTACCTCTGAGAGAACCAGGTTCTGGCTAGTGGTTTCCCGATAAGCATAGAACTTCATGTGACTGAAGCCCCAGACTAATATAGCTAACATCAATTCGACAGCACCAGGGCACTGATGGGGCTTTCCCCACAAAATACTGTAGGAAACAAGGAATGTACCTGTAGATACAAAATCCTAGTCCTTACCTTGGGTTTTCGGGTCCTCTGGAGAAGATGATGACTCGCCCGACGAGGAGTCCTGTAGTGGTGCGAGGAGTCCAAGGTGTTGCAGGGAAGTGGTGAAAGCTGGGTGTCCCACACGTTCCACTAGCTCTGCCACCAATGACTCCACCACTCCCCGGTGCTCCACCAGACGTTCCACAATACTTCCCTGAAATATATAACCACCTTTAATATTCCGTAGGAAATTTTTTTAATTTAATAAGCTTTAATTATTAATTGAACTGTCAATAATGGCCGCACATGGAAGGTGGCACCCAAACAAATGCTGCAAAGGAAGGGTTAAATAACAGACATGACAGGCAAGACCATAATACAAAGTCAAATAAAATGTTAATAATTTCAGATAGTAGTTCCTCAATCTGCTAAAAGGTTGCACTTCAGAACAACCTTATGCAAACATTACATTTCGTCTTTAATTGGACACCTTGGGTACAGCGGGCAATACAGAATGTTTGAGAGGTGCCATTGTATAACAATGTAAAAAGAATTCAGTTTCCAATTCTGTACAAGTCAAGGGTTTACTGAATTAGTACTTGCAGGTCAGACTGTGGCAACACTTCTAAGCTCTGTTCACATAAGAAACAAACTAATGAATAGCAAGTAGAATAATATAATTAGTTCTTATCCAAATAGTACAGTGGTACCTCGGGTTACGAATGTCCCTGTTTACGAACTTTTCGGGTTACGAGCCCGATTTGTTTGGAAAATTTGAATCGGGATACGAGTGTGTTGATATGCGTACGGGCTGACCTAGCGTGTGGTGGCACGGCGATTGCGCCTCAGTTTACCAGTGACTATCCCGCCTGAATTCTTCACAAGAATTTACAGTTTTCATCGGAGCTTTGGCCATTTGAGCATAAAAGTGGTTATTATATATCTTGCCATGGGTCCCAAGAAAGCCAGTGGTAAGGTTCAAGGCAACAAATCCCATGTGAGAATGACCATAGAGGAAAAACAAGAGATCATTCGTAAGCATGAAAATGGTACTCGTGTTGTTGAACTAGCTAGGCAGTACAACAAATCTTCAGGGGAGGAAGAAGAGACAGTAGAGAATGTCCCTTCCTCATTAATTAAGAAAATGTGTGCAGTATGGGAAAGACTGCAAAGTTTTGCTGAAAAGAATCACCCAGATAAAGCTGTAGTAAGCCGTAGCATTGATCTTTTTAATGACAATGTGATGCCTCACTACAGAAAGGAAAAAACAGTCTTCAATGGAACGTTTCCTTGTGAGAAAAGTGAGAAAATCAAGCAGTGAATCACAACAAGGATATGCAGGCAAAATGTGCCAGAGTGCACTCCAGAGAAATCTTCACAGCCTGCTGTTATAATGGAAGGGGACTCCCCTTCCAAACAGTAACACCACTTCTCCTTCCCCCTCCTCACCATCTTCCATACACCAACAGGAGTCATCAGCAAGGGTAAGTAATAACTTGAACATACTTTTATAGTGAAGATTTGGGTGAATTAGGTATAAAATTTACTTTGAAGTGAAGTTTTTGGGGAGTCAGGAACGGATTACTGTAATTCATTTCCCAATATTTCTTATGGGGAAATTCACTTCGGTTTATGAATTTTCAGGTTACAAAACCGTCTCCAGTAATGGATTAAATTCTTAAACCGAGGTACCCCCTGTACCAGCCATTAAAGAAAGTGTACAGGAAAGTATATAACTTACCACTTTTGAGGTGGCTCCTTTGAACACAAACTTAAACTCGGACCATTCTACAATATCCTCCAAGTCTGCTGCAGCCTCTTCAAGTCGCAGTGTTAGGACAGGTAGTTCCTCAGTAAAGTGTTCAATAATTCTTGCCACCCCCCGTGCCCTTGCTCCTCCACCTATCTCTTCAAACTGTTCTCTCTTATGAACAAGAGAATTTAAGAACGAAGTTAAATTTTCCTGCAAGATGCGTAGTTTTTGTAGCTCACGAAGGTGTAAGTCCTGTAAAAGAAAACAGATCAAGTTAAAAACTTACATAAATTATTCAGAGAAACATGAAGAATGGAGAAAAATGCATTCTCCTCTCCCCTACTTGAAGAAACAATCTAGCTCCGAGTATACTGTACAGTACAGTATACAAAATGCTCCTTCCTGAACAGCTTAGGAACCCCGGTCTCTCCCCTTAAGCAAGAGCTTGCTGGTCCTCTAGATCCAGGATTTATGAAACATTTGTGCAACTACTCTACTGATAAAACCTGCACATCTTTCCTTAATCATGCCAGCAGGTTTAATTACATGTAAACAGTTTATGAGCTTCAAAATTACACAACCCAAGGTTATTGTTATAAACTACATAGTGCTTCAGAGCTCATCAACTGTTTAATAAATGAAAAGAAAGCAGCCACGATTGAGATACACAGATTTCACAAGAGGCTGCATAAATGCTTCATGCTGTCCAGGGGCCAGGAGTCAAGATGCACATTCAGGGAAGGTCAACATTCTGCATGGGTATAGAAAGGCTCTTACCGAGTGTCCCTGCAGTATGAATACTCATCATGGGTCATCTTACATAAAATCTAGACTTTCAAAACCCTACCTGACGTAGTAAGGGACCTTCAGAGTAGGAGCACAAGGGCAACTGGATGGATCACCAGGCCCATTAGCACTTTATCTAACTCCTAGTTGGCCTGATCATTTGCTACACCAGAATGCCACCAGGTGGAAGCACATACACATAAATAGGGTTCCTCGACTCTGACCATTCTACTGACATTCTTCCAGACAAAAATATCCTATAAAGCACAAGGAAAGTAGGCAGAGAAGGGCAGGAGCAAATGAGCATCTTAATTTAAGGCTACATAATAATAATAATAATAATAATAATAATAATAATAATAATAATAATAATAAAAAAGCTACAGAATGGTGGCAAATGGGGATACAAGCTGAGAGCAGCCCTAGATTCAAGCAGCTAGACCCTGACTCTCACAAAAAATGGTTATCTGGAAGAAAGCCAACCCAAAACAGACGAAGCAGCTCCAAGACAACCAAGTGAGGAGAACCATAAGAAAAGATCAAACACACAGGAAGTTGGCAGAGAACAAGGGCCACTGGGTAGCTCACCAGGCCACCTCATGCTATCAAAAATGGAAGCTCTAAGGTGTTGGGTGAGGGGCAGTCACTTGCTTCCCATAAAATCAGCGTTAAATGTAATGAAACAGCATTTTCTAGGTGGGCCCTGAAGTTTCCCCCGAGCTTACCGGGCTGATATGTATGCATTAGACTGTGGCATCAATCGATTGGAGTTCTTTTGACTACCGGGGACCATAAGATAGAACCTGGCCCTCCTCAGAGAGGCTAGGGAAGCAATGGCCTATGGAAACCCCCATGTGTTTAAAAGCATTCCATGTCTGCTATCGACTGTGGTTGACACCCAGAAAGGTAGGCGTAACAAAACAAACCCCACATGGTAAAAATTGCTACCTAAAAGCCAAACTGGGAGGCAGAACTTCCAAACTAAAACAAGCAAACGTCACTAATGCCATCTCGTCGATTGTCCTCGCAGCCCCCCCCCCAATCGGTAGTTGGGGTCGATGCCTTTCAGCTGTACTGGTCGAGGTGGGGTTACCTGTACTTCTTTCCCTCGGATCAATTGTTGCTCCGGGTCCTGGCTCACTTGAAGACCTACTAGGGAAGTGTAGTCCTCTTGGCCCCATGGTGGCCGGCCCAGCCTTGGTTTCAGATGCTGCTTGCTCGGTGTCCAAACCCGAGGGTCTCTGCCTCTTTCAGCAGATCGGTCCGGTCCGATATGTAGCTGGTTCAATCTTCTCCTCCGATCTTCGCAACTGGTCATTTTGACGGGGGGTTTATCCCCACCCGCGGGGTTCGTCTCGGTGGCAGTATGAAGTTTCCTGGTGGTCCTTTTGGCACTTTTTATCTCTTCATACGCTGTCTTCAATTTCTGATCGGGATGTTTTGTCCTTTTTCTCTTTTGGTTGTTTCAGGACTGTCATATTATGCCGAATAACGTCACCTCGTTTTGTGTGGTGTTGGAGGAGCCGCTTCAGCTTGCGTTTGGGGTGGATGTAACTTCTGCTCCATTCCGCAAGCTTTCTCGGGCGTTGTTTCACCTCCAGCCTTCTCATGCACCACCTGAGTCATCCTGGTCGTCATCCAACCTGTTGCTCGGGTTTGGATGACGACCAAAGAGTGTGTTTTCTTTCTTTTCCTCGGTTTGTTGTGGCCTGTTTGGTTCAGGACTGTTTTTCTAAGGTCCTTTTCTTGTTGGCATTGGAAGTTGGGTAGGGGAGCTTCATGCTCTCCTCCAGTGCAGGGGTTTCTGCTTTTTCGGTCCTGGTGGTCAGTTTGTTTGTATGCAGCCGTCTCCTCCTTTTCTGGCGAAGAATGAGACTGCTGCTTTCCGGAGGGGTCCTTGGGTTGTTGATGCTTGGTTGGTTCGGCCGGGAGTACATCATGTTTTGTGTCTGGTAGCAGCTCTTCACCATTACTTGCGCACCACAGCCTCCATTGCAGGGGACGCACTTTGGGTTGACCCGGTTTCCCCTTCTTCTGTATTCCAGGGCACAGGTCTTCCAGGTCAACCACAGGATTTTTCGGTCCAGGTAGCCTGCGAACTATTCCCCATGCCCATGATGTTCGTAACTTTGTGGATTTGGCTGCTGTTTTTGGTAATATGTCCTGGGCCGACATTAGGGCATGGGGTTTTTGGAGGTCGAACAGGGTCCTGGCTGCACAGTACCTCGTTAATGTTCCTGGTCCTTCTCGGGGGTGTGTAGCCTTGGGTCGCAGGTTGCAGCCAGTTGTCTCGACTTCGAGTTGAGGAGCGCGTGGCAGCCACCTCCCAGGTAAGTCCCACTTTTCCTTTATCTTTGGTTTGGTAGCTCCGGAGAGTCGAAGGGGCTCTCCACAGTAAATCAGCATTTAATTTAATGAGACCCCATTTTCTAGACGAGACCCGGAGGCTCCCCGGCATTCCTTCTTCCCTCCGGTTGGTGTTTTTTCGCGTTTTTGATATTCAGCCTCTGAACTGGGGGGTTGGGTAGCCGGCACGGAGGGGTGTGTGTGTGTGTGTGTCTGGGGTGTCCCCTTCCCCCTCCCCTCTGTGCAGACAGCGGCGCGGCGGCTGTGATAAAGTCATGCTTGTTTGCTTGTTTTCTGATTGGGTAGTTCTGCTTCCTTGTTTGGCATTCTGCTTGCAATTTTTAAACAGCAGTAGTTTGTTTTGGGATTCCTACCTTTCTGGGTGCCTGACCTGGTAGATGGCAGACATAAAACTGCTTCCAACTACATGGGGGTCTGTGGGCCATTGTTCCTCGTGCCTGCAATGGTTCAGGTTCTGGCTCATGGTCTCCGGTAGGCTAGAACTCCATCGATTGACTGACGCCACGGTCTAATATATACACATCAGCTTGGTATAGCTCCAGGGAGCCTCCGGGTCTCACCCAGAAAATGGAGTTTCATTACATTCAACACTGTTTTTGTTTTCCTCTTTTACTTTTCTCTTCCTTTTTTTCCCTCCCAATTCAACAGTTTCTTTCCTTCTACCCTCCCACTTCCCTGGATATTTTTCTGAACTGATAAGATGGATAAACAAGGTTAAAAGGAAATGCTGAAGAATGTTTCAAAGATATGAGAGAGCAACTGTATACTTTACTTACATTTCTGAGGGACTTTGCTAGTAGATGTGTAGGTGAATGAGAAGACTCTAAAGATGTGGACGATGCCTGGATTATATGTTCTAAACTTGTTCTTAGAGATCCAACATCCACACAGACAGTCTGAAGAACGGAGCTAATCTGGGAAATAACAATGCATATTTCTAGAGGTTAATGGAAGATTTGTAATCTTTTGCTTTAATATTAAAAATGGCCTGTCTTATAACACTATAAAAATTACAATACTGTATGAACAAATTTTGCAATAAATGGGTATATGAAAATGGAAGGAACATGCAATGAACATTTGATCACACAATGCCTAACAAATGTCAACACTGACTAAAATATGACGAAACACACACACACTCTTGTGTATTTATGAATAGAGTTTAACTACACCAAATCTTTTTCACTCTGAGTGCATTATCAAAGTCTGATAATATGGTTTGGAAAGGACTTGTATCTCAATGACTATTAGTCATATTAGATGTAGAGCTGCAAGTCCTGTCCAAACCATAGTACTCAGACCTTGATAATGGTTCACGAGAGTGCAAAAGACTTAAGTGTAGTTCAAATCTTTACATAAAATTGCATAATATACAAGTTTGGGTGTTTTATCCTGTGTGTTTATATCTGTGATAAGACATTACTATTACTCCACTGTGTGCACTGGACATAATTGGCAATAAGCAGGCAGGGCAACAGTTTAACACAGGCATCACAGGGAACTTTTCAAAACAGTTCCTGCAATTTATACAAAATTCAAAGGTCTTGCAAGCCTTTCTTGGTATCACACATGACAGTCACCAGAGTGTTCCCTCTGGCTTTGCTTTCCTCTTCTCTGGCATGAGAAGAGGCATGAGTCTGGCATGAGTCCTATCCAAGAATTTTGGTTCCCTGGAAACCACCTCCAGGAGGATCGGCGCAAACAGCTCTGGTAGGACAGATGACACTGAAGCAGCAGACTAAGACCCCAGCCGAGGGTCCCCCTCACCCTGCGCTCACATCTTCCAAAAGCCAATCGAAAGACAGCTCCAGAAGGCTAATGAAATGCAAGACCGAAGCCAAATGACCGCAAGTCTGAAGGTCGTTAGCTGCCAAAACAGCCAAAAGAATGGGAACCTGAGCATGTAACTGCACCAGACCAACATAAGAAATTGCAGGGAGTGAAGAGGCCCTCATTGAGAAACTCGAGCGAGCCCCCCAAGACTACCTGCATCGAGGTAACCTCCCGCCACTCAAGGGTGCGGGTACGACAAAAACCAGGCCATGCCTCAAGAGAGAAGAATGGGCAGTCTGCCATACAGGAAGACTCCGGAACCTCATAATGCACCCAATAAGGGGAAGAGGAGCCAAAATCGAAGAAAGTCGGATCCATTACAGAGGCGTAAACCAGGTCCCACAGGAGGTAAGCACCAAGGGCCTTCCGAACCTCTGCAGGGAAAATCTGAGAGGAAGAAATCCCCTGGAAGGATGAATCCGAAACCCAAGGGCCCCCAGAAATGGACCCCTTGCCATCCAATTCAAATTCATAAATGGAAGGGGGGTAAGAAAACTCCCTCCCTTGCAAAAGCAGCCCCTGCCCAGAAGGCACAATGGCCCAAGGAGGATCAAAACGAATCCCAAGAGCTCCGTGTGGACTTCCCCTGAGCCCTGGGAACCGTCGACAAAGGTCCCGGGGGCAGAGCCCTCATCCATGCCCACCACATCTGAAGAAAAGGCGGAGTCCAGAGAGAGAGCTTCAAAGAAGGGAGTCTACTGAGTCAACTTAGAAGCCTCAGCATGAAAGAGGGGGCTCAACCACCTCTGCACTTGCATTGGAAGGGGAAAGCCCCCAAAGCCACCCAAACCTCATCCTGGGCTAAACCCTGCTTGGACTTGGAAACGTTTGAGAGCTGGAAGCAGGGGGGAGGGGGGGAAAGAAGGCAAACCACTCCTACCTCCTACCTAGGAAGAAAGAGGAAGCGCAGATGGAACCAAGGCTGAGATGATCAACGCCCCCAAATCTAGTCTCTAAAACCCAAACAGAGCAGCTCCAGAGCTTCCTACCAGGCAACCAACCTGGCCCATTGCAGTAAAGAGAAACGATCATGCAACACAGCCACTGCCTGATCCCTGAGATCTTCAGATAAGAGATTAGTAAATTGGAGCACAAGCAGGGAACAAGTCCTGCAAGACTGTGTCATAGGTGCCTCCAACCCAACAGGCACTATGTCGGAGGCAGTACTGATGATCATCTCCCCGAGGCAGACAATGAGCAACCTTCAAAATCGCACAAGGAGAGAGTAGGCTCAGATGAAGTATCCATGGTACGACCGAGCCCACAGAATTTTTCCAGGGCTTGTAGAGGGAATAAGCCCTATGGGAAGTCCAGGCACTGGGCCTCCTAAGCCAATAAACCTTATCTGTAGCAGGCAAGCTGACTGCCAGTAGCAGTCATGAAACCTCGGGGACAACAGAGGAGGACCACCACCAAAACCTAGGCGAAGCCTAATAGGGAGTTAAACAGACCTCTACACACAGAAATCACAGTAACATGATATATCGAAGCTTCAAAGAAGCTTCAGGATCCTCATGAGAGCAGCAGCACTCCAGGTTGTAATTCTTTTGACCATTTTGTGGTACAGTTGACTAAGGCACATCTGGGAACATCCTATGCATAGGTTCGAACCCTCATCACGGCCCTTGTGGATTTGTTCATTAAACAGACCTCCTCTGCCACAACAGGTGAAATCGGCAAAATAAGAAAAATAAAAAACGAAATCACACAACTAGCAAACTAGCAGCCAGAGAGAAACATTGGCCACCACATTCATAGTAAGGCAGGCTTTCGCCGGCCGTAGTGTGTCCCACCACCAAAACAAACACTACCCGACCTGGGGCAAGACAGACAGCCTAAGCCCCCTGGCCTACCCCCAAGGGCAAGGACAACCTCAAGCAAGGAAGCCCTCTAACGTGGAGTGAGTCCCGAATGCCCCAGGGAAGAGAACCCTGAAATGCAAAGACAGTACTGTACTTATGGAGCACCTAGAGAAGGAAGCCCTATTCGCTCCTAGTACACTGAATACACCTGGCCAACGCACAACACATGTGTAGGAACAGCCCCACATGGCAAAAATCCAGAACAGGAAACCAAGGCCAGAGATGACGTCCAACTGCCAGCACATCAGTTCAAGAACTGAAGTGGCTGGTTGCTGGCTCACCTGGGTAGGCTTCCCCTCCCCTGCAGAAGGGGGGAGGGTAGCACTAATGAGTGGGGGGATAGTTAGATGATGTGTTGCTTGTTTGTTTTCTTTACTGGGGTGTTCTTTTGCTCTTTTGAGGACGTAGCTTGCATATTTTAACCAGACAGTGTTCTGTTTTGATTTACCTACGTTTCTGGGTCCTTACCCCAGTCAATGGCAAGTATGAAATACTTTAAATGTAAAGTGTTCATAGGCCATTGCTCTATGTTTCTCTGAGAGGGCCAGGTTTTGGCTCTTGGTCCCAGGTTGGCTAAGGACTCTGTGCAGCCCGTCCTCCTAAGGTTTCCCAATGTCAAGAAAAGGTCAAATTAAAGTGTCCTCTTCTAATCTATCAGAGGACTCAAAACAGAAAAACGGAACAGTACGTCACTTTTGCGAGCCGCTTCCTTTTTCAAGTACGACAATTTTTGGCCTTGTGTAACACACACGATCGAAATGAGATGTTCTTCATAACGGCAAGTTGCTCTGAGACTGATGACCCCAAACTAATATAGCACTATATCAAGTGGCATAGCTTGAAGGAGCTGACAGGGCTCCCCACAGAAGAGCCATTCTCCTTACTGAGGCACCACAGAGAGTATACTCTGGGGAAGCCATTGACAAGCCCAGCACAAAAATAGAGCACCAAGTGTGATCAAATTCCACTTCCTGTGTAGCACCTCAGTAGCTCCCCATTCCTTATTACCCCCTTTTGCTCTGTGGGTTTGGGACGCATGCTTGAGGTTAGACTCCTAGGTGATCTCGGCAGTGACCCGATGGAAGCCGGGAAAATGGGAGCAGGTGTTTGCTTGTTCCAACTATTAGTTGGATTGTTTACCTATCTTATTCTCTTCTCATAGAATAGTCTAGGTTTTGTGACAATTTTGCACAAGTAGGTCACTTTGGATCTGGGTCCATCTTTAATTCTCAAGTTATTTGTTTCCCTTGATTCTTTGAGGTGGCCAGATTCTGGTTCAAAATCTAGCATGGCCAAGAAATTCTTGAGTGTGTGACATTTAAGGGGTGACCCAGTGGAGCCACCACCTTGAAGTTCCCAGGAGCTACTGAAGGGCTGCACACACACACACACACACACACTGCCATTGTATTATACTTTAAATGCTCCAGTTTTGTTGTCTATCATTTTGATTTGTCAGGTAAATTCAAAATATTTTAAGGATTACTCATGTGCTCTACACAGCTAAAATAAATAAAATTAACTTATTAAGCTTCATTTACAAATGAAGACTATTAAGTTACTAATTTTTGAAGTGGCAGTATTTCTAACATGAATGAACAAGCTGCAGAACCACCTGTGAAGTTCCTTGCAAATGATACCAATGAAATATTTGAGTGTTAATGATGTGAGGGGCTACCCAATATGAGAGTACCTCTGGAACAAGTTGCTGTGCTAGTTGCTGGCGAGTGTGGTGATTGAGAACAGCGAGGGATGCTCGTACATTGGCCAAGAGTCGCACCACCGTGGCCAGCAGGGGTGGCAACTGTGACCTAGTGTACCGCATAACTTCGTGCTGCTCTGCTTGGGTCAGTCTCCATCCACACTGCTCAAACTCCTGACTTAATTCAACCACTTTCACCACACCTGAAACACTACTATTTAGTCTTTGTAAATACAACACAAATATTGATATGCCCTAGCCATCATTACTAATTAAGCAGAAACTTAAATTAATTCAAAATTAAGCACTAAATATAATGAAACACCCTTTCATAGACGGCCTCAGTAGCTCCCCATGGTATTGGCACTGGTACCAGATACCCACAATGCTGCCATACCTCTGGACATGTTGCAAACCTACCAAACACCAGGAACAATCTGATTGTTCATAGAGGTAAGGGACACATGGGGATCGTGGATTTACCTAATATTGACTAAAATTACACAAAATGTACTGGCAAAGCAAAACTATCTTGATTAAAGAGAGAAAAGAATGAAACAAAGTAAGCGATAGGTTGCTGATGGTGTAAGAATCATTGTGCCAGTAACCAAGTGCACCACCAGATGGTAGCTCTGGTCATCTAAAGTCCCAGCAAGCCACTGCCTGCAAGAGGCACCCCATTTCCAGAATAAAGAAGGGCAAACAAGGGTGGGTATGTGGAGCTACCGAAGCCATCCAGAAAAGGGCATGCCCTCGGTGCATACTCCCAACACTGTGTCAGAGGAAACTGGCTTTGCTGAAACATAATAGTAAAACTAACAAATAAAAGATGGAAGGGTTTACCCATGGGAAAAGAAGGTATGAACAAGGGGGTTAACAATTCTTCCGGCAAGAACAGGAACTGTCCAATACAGGAATACAAAAGAGCCAGATGCAAGGGAAGTAAAGCTGACTTCCCTTGCATCTCGCACAGGCAGATGCATCTCGCACAGGCAGATGCATCTGCATCTTTTTAATTCAGCTCATTGAATTTTGTAAATTACAGACAAAGATGGCGTATCGCAATTGAATAATCCAAAAAATGTTCAAGGCATCACCCATACACAAGGCATGGCTAAGCAATAATGTACCTAGATTGTACCTGGATGGGGTTCTGAGAGTTCTTCTACTCCTCAAGCGTGAGAGCTTGGTCCAACAGTCTGTTGCTTAGAGCAGCCCACAGGCCCACATATCCACCACAACCCGGTTAGTCTGGCACTTCTTGAAGATTATTTAAATTTTTTAAATTAGAACACACTTAACTTAATCAACTTGCATCCACAGATCTGGCATGAGGATAAAGTCCCAACACTACTTGGACACCAAAACAACTTGAGAGGCAAAACACAGGAACTGAGGACACCCAAACACCCCCTCTGAGAGGACAACTCTGTAGAGGAAATGGAAAATGTGAACTGAAGCTGGTGAAACTATGTCAAGGCCAATTAAGCAGCTAAGAACATGCAAGTTCGATAGCATTAACAATCATGAAGCATAAGTAGGAATCAAACATGGCCTCCATAGGAGGCCTGGGGAATGACTGAGCCGTGGGAATGCTAAGCCCCGAAACCAACTCAAGGTATACTTCGTGGAACAATATCCCAAGGAATCTTAACCCAGCTTATTTCATCTAGAATAGTAGACCAATTTTCTTGCAGGGGTGAAGGTTTGTCAGGGTGGTACCAGGCATGCAGGGATGCACACAGCAGGACCCCTAGGTAAGCTGAGCTGGCACCTGGTGGTGCACTTGGACATTGACATTCATGGACATTGACATTGATTGTTCATGGTTGGAAAAATACCATTTGCTATATTTTTACTCTATTCTCTCTAACTGAGATATTTCAATAAGTTTCACTTCACCTGCACAATACTTCTGGTCAATTTTACTCCATTTCAGTTTAAGCCCTGATCCCCCATGCTTCTCACACCTCTATGAACACACCAGATTCTTTCCCTGGTGTTTGGTAGGTATGAGCAGGTCCAGAGGTCTGGCAGCATGGTGGGTGTCTCTGTGGGACCAGTCAATGGTCCTGGTGTTTGGTAGGTATGAGCAGGTCCAGAGGTCTGGCAGCATGGTGGGTGTCTCTGTGGGACCAGAGTCAATGGTCCTGGTGTTTGGTAGGTATGAGCAGGTCCAGAGGTCTGGCAGCATGGTGGGTGTCTCTGTGGGACCAGAGTCAATGGTCCTGGTGTTTGGTAGGTATGAGCAGGTCCAAAGGTCTGGCAGCATGGTGGGTGTCTCTGTGGGACCAGAGTCAATGGTCCTGGTGTTTGGTAGGTATGAGCAGGTCCAGAGGTCTGGCAGCATGGTGGGTGTCTCTGTGGGACCAGAGTCAATGGTCCTGGTGTTTGGTAGGTATGAGCATGTCCAGAGGTCTGGCAGCATGGTGGGTGTCTCTGTGGGACCAGAGTCAATGGTCCTGGTGTTTGGTAGGTATGAGCAGGTCCAGAGGTCTGGCAGCATGGTGGGTGTCTCTGTGGGACCAGAGTCAATGGTCCTGGTGTTTGGTAGGTATGAGCAGGTCCAGAGGTCTGGCAGCATGGTGGGTGTCTCTGTGGGACCAGAGTCAATGGTCCTGGTGTTTGGTAGGTATGAGCAGGTCCAGAGGCCTGGCAGCATGGTGGGTCTCTGTGGGTCCAGAGCCAATGCACTGGGAAGCTACTGATAACACCTGCCCAGAAAATTATTTGTACACAGTAATGGAGAATAACAAAATTATTACACAATCTGATGATGATAGTTAACAAGAAACATTTTGAATATCTTACCAATAGCCATTTGTCTGAGAGCAGCTTTAAGAACTGTGATGAGGTGGGTGGGGCTTGTCACAGCCGGATCACTTGGGTTGAAGAGTTGAACCATTACTTCAACACATTCCTGCACCTCTTGCATTAGACACACCAACCCTGCACAAGGACCATACATCATTCTTATTTTGTATATATTCTATTATACTTTTCACCACATACATAATTTGTACTGTAATATATATTAAAATATTGAGTGCTTTAGTAACTTTAATATACATTATGTTCTACAGCTCATGATTTTGTACCAATAGATTATGTAGTTGTTAACTAGTGAAACTCTCAAGTTCTGAGAGCAAAAATGTCTGGTGTAGAAGGTTCAGATTCCATCAAACAGAAACATAGAAGCATAATAATTATATAAAGTCAGAAACTGAAGACAATTGTCACAGGAAGGAAAATACGAAGAGTGAGAAAATTAGAACAAGTAACCAATGGCACTGCAGTATTAAGTAGACAGACTTAACAGGAGGATAAGGAGTAAATACTCCCTGCTTTAAGTAGTGCTTCCATTAACAAATGTATCCATCACTGTCATTGTTATTGTGTGCTCTTTGTAAACTCAAAGTATGGCTGCAGCAGTCTTTATATAATGTTAAAAACCAGCGTGGAATGTAATGAAATGCCATTTTCATTACATTCAACGGAGGCCCAGAGGCCATTTTCATTACATTCAACGGCGACCTGGAGGCTCTCCAGAGCTATCCAGGCTGATATGTACTTATTTAGCTTTCTGACATCAGTCAAAGTGCATGGAGTTCTGCCTATCGAGGAGCACGGCCATAGCCTGGCCCCCTCAGAGAGGCACGAGAAGCAATGGTTTATAGAAACCCCCGTGTGGTTGGAAGCAGTCTGTCTGCCATTGATAGGGCCTGTCATCCAGGAAGGTAGGCATCTCAAAACAAACCCCTATGCTGGTGAAAATTGCTACCGAAATTTGAACAAGTGGATAGAACTCCTTAAATGAAAACTAGCAACTAGCATGACATCACGTCACTGTGCTGCTGTCTGCGCAACCCCCCCCCCCCCACTTCCCCTGGAGGGGGGAAGGGGGAGCCCCAGACCCCTCATGCCAGCAACGTAGCCCACAGTTCTTAGGCTAGATGTCAAAATATGCAAAAAACACCTCCAACCGGAGGGAGGGGGGGAGGATGCCAGGGAGCCTCCGGGTCTCAGAGGCTCCCCAGCAGAGACAACTGGCTGCAACCGCCGACCCAATGCAACGCAGGCTCTACCAGGTCCAGGGACATTGACGAGGCAGCGATCGGCCAGGACCCTGTTTGACCTACAAAAACCCCATGCCAGAATGTCAAGGAGTTTAAGTATTAAGTCAGGCGAGCTAGACTTAATAACCCTGCAGACAACCTGAGAGACCTGAGCCCGGGAACAGGGAAGGAGGGAAACTGGGTCAACCCAAAGCACATCCCCGGCCACCAAAGCTGTGGAGTGCAAATAACGGAGTAGAGCCACAACCGAACACAGCACATGATGAACCCCCGGCCTGACCAAGCATCAACAACCCAAGGACCCCTCCAGAAAGCAAGCAGTCTCATTCTTTACCAGAAAAGAAGGAGACGGCTGCAACCGAACAAACATACCACCACGACCGAAAGAGCAGAAGCCCTTGCGCTGGAGGAGAGCATGAAGCTTCCTGACCCGACCCCCAGAGGCTAATGCCAACAGGAAAAAGAGCCTTAGAAAAACAATCCTGAACTGAAGGGGCCACAACAAAATGAGAAGAGAGAAGAGAGAGCACCTGGTCCAGAGACTAGGACGGCTCAGGAGGAGCATGAGCAGGCCGGAGGTGAAACAACACATGAGACAGCTTGCGGAACAGGGCAGAAGTAACATCAATACCGAATGCAAGCTGGAGCTGCTCCACCAGCTCCGCACGATAAGAGCCGACAGTATTCAGCATAAGATGACAGTCCTGGAACAACCACGAGAGATAGGACAAAACAACCCAGACTGAAGAACACCTACTCAGTGATAGGAAAACCGGAAGGACTGCTAGGAAACTTCATGCTACCACCGAGACGAAGCACACACGTGGGAGACCAACAATGAAGCCACCTGCGTCCCATACAAGTGATGATTCGAGTAAAAAATTCCAGACACGAAGACTCGAGGAGAAGAACGAATCAGCCTTGTACCGAGCTGGACCGATCTCCTGAAGGAGGCGGAGCCGCGGGAAGACCCTCGGGTTCGAACACTGAGCAAGCAGCACCTGAAACCAAGGCTGGGCCAGCCACCAAGGAGGCAGAAGGTCTACTCTCCCCTGGTAAGTCTCCAAGTGAGCCAGGATCTGGAGCAACAGCTGAACCGGGGGAAAGAGGTACAGGTAACCCTACTTCCCTCAGCCCTGCCAAAAGGCATCGACCCTGACGACCTCGCAATCAGGGAAGGGCGCCACGTATACCGGGAAACGCCGACGCCGATGCGAAGAGATTCACTTCCAGAGATCCAAATGTCTGGCAGAGCCAACGGAAGGAGCCAGCATTGACCGTCCATTCTGCGGACAGGGGAATGAACCAGCACAAGCCGTCTGCCAAGACATTGGATACCCCCCGAACATGAAACACCAGGAGAGCCAAACCCCGAGAACTCGGCAGACAAGTAACCCGAAGCGACCAGCCCCAAAGAGCCAAGAACCGCATCGAACCCCCTCGGTTCAGGCAATGAACCACAGGGAAGCAGTCCGAATGGAGCCGGGTCGTCGATCCACGAGCGACGTGAACCCTCTGGAGCGACATCCATACTGCCGTGAACTCCCGTACCGTGCTGTGAGCCCGACAGAAGGACGGACTCCACCGCCCCTGGCCAGCCTGGTGAGCACTGGTCACAAAGCCCCAGCCGAGAGACGACACGTCCGTGAACACATTGAGCGAGGGCTCAGGTACGCGCCAAGGCACTAAACCCCCCAAAAAACAAAGAGGAAGCCAGCGATGCAGCAGCTGACGCAAAGCCCACGGAGGCCGAACCCCAGGAGTTGCGAGAGATGTGGAAGGGACGTCCCCGAAGGAACCAGAACAGCCGACATAGCCACATCCAACCCGGCGGGTAGACCATCATGGCAAAGTTCAGGCTCCCGCACAAACCCTCGAGCAACCTGTGTGACCCGGGAGCCCCTGAAAGTAGGAACGCAAGCAAAGCAGAGTCGCCGAAGGCAGAGACAAGGAAGTGGTCCGAGCGTCCCACACAAGACCCAGCCAAGGCCGAACCTGAGAGGGAACCAGATGGGACTTCCGCCAGTTCACCAGGAACCCGAACCCGGCTAGCTGGGAAAAAACCAAATCCCTGGCGAGCAGACCGGCTGGGGCCCAACCCAGCCAGTCATCGCGGTAGGCCAAAACTCGAACACCTAACATGCAGATGGCCACCATGACCCAGGTAAGGCGTGTAAAAACACGAGGCACCAAATTCAAACCAAAAGGAAAGCAACAGAAGTGGTAACCTTGATGCCTCATCACAAAACCGAGCCAACCCCTGAACCTCGGATGAATTGGGATGTGCCAATATGTGTCCTTGAGGTCCGGGGACACCAAGCGCCCAGCGCCAACAGACGACGGATCTGGGAGAGAGTAGTCATCCGAAAAGAGGGGCAATAAACCCACGGGTTCAGACGGGACAAGTCCGGAATAAACCCAACGTTCGCGCAGTCCCGTTTCGGGACTGGAAACAGACGGGAGACCCACCTGAGAGAAGAGGTCGTTTCGACCACGCCCAAGCGAACCCACTCCGAGACGACTTGACAGAGCGCAGGAGAAGAGGCCTGACCTGCCAACCCCGAACCTCCGGAAAGAGGAGGAGCCATCCAACACCACCACAGGCCGCATGAAACAACCCGAAAAGCCCACGAATCATGGGACCAGGGGAAAGCAAACAGAGCAAGGCACCCCCCCCCCCCCCCGCCCCTCGCGAATCAGTGGGACAAACCGTGAAAGAGCCGACGCACCTTACGAGAACCTAAACAGCGCACAGTAAGATCCCCACTCCGACCAGAAAAAGATGGAACCAAAGGCTGCGCCTGCCCTGAATCTGGCACCAAGGACCAGGACGGCTCAGGCGGCGCATGAGCAGGCCGGAGGTGAAACAAGGCACGAGAAAGCGTACTGAACAGGGCGGATGTGACGTCCACTCCGAACACAAGCTAGAGCGGCTCCGCCAGCGCAGTACGACATGAGGCAAGAGTAACAAGCATCAATTGACGATCCTGGAAAACCAAGAAAGGACAAGACAACCCGATCCGAAAGAGAAGACAACCTACGAAGAGCAAGAAATTGGCAAAAAGAAACGCCAGGAAACTTCATACAGTCGCCGAGACGAAGCTCACAGGTGGGACATCATCAACAAAGCCACCTGATCACCAGAGATATGGTGATACACCCGTGTCAAAAAGACCAAACGCAAAGAGCAGAGAAGGCCAAACCAGCCACGTACCGGACCAGTCCGACCTGCTGAAAGAGACAGACACACGAGAACGCCCCGGGTTCAGACACCGAGCAAGAAGTGCCTGAAAAAAAAGGCTGCGCCGGCCACCAAGGGGCCACAAGGACTACTCTCCCTGGGAAAGGACTCCAACTGAGCTCGAACCCGGAGCAACAGCTGGACCAGAATGAAGAGTACAGGTAACTCCACCTCGACCAGTCCTGCCAAAAGGCATCCACCGCAAACGCCTCGCAGGCGGGGAAAGGCGCCACATAGAATGGGAGACACCGAGACCTCGCCAACGTGAAGATGTCCATGTCCGGGAGTCTATACGTCCGGCAGGGACAACGAAACGAGTCGGTGATGACCGGCCATTCTGTGAACAGAGGAATGAACCGAAACAGGCCGTCTGCCAGGACATTGGATACTCCCCGGACATGAACCACATAGAGAGCCAAACCCCAAGAAACCAGCAGACAAGCCACTTGAAGGACCAACCCCCAAGAGGCAAGGACTGAAGAGAACCACCATGGTTTCGGCAATGAAACACCGGGGAACAGTCCAAATGGAGCTGGATGATAGAGCCCAAGTGACCCGAACCCTCCGAAGCGCAAACCAGACCACCACGTACTCCCAAACCGTGCTGTGAGCCTGATGGAAGGACGGACCCC